ACAAGGACTTGCGAAAGCTCGCAAATTTTTTTTTACATTTCAAATTTAGCGGTGAAAAAAATGTGCAAAATATTCGGCATTAAATAAAAAGAACGAATTTGACTGAAATTGGATGAAACTACAGGAAAAGATAACTGGGTGCTCAACAAATACCCGCAATCCGGACCCCCAATTTAAAAATGGCAAAAGCCTATACTTGTAACAAATTTCCTCAGGAACAAAATCGATAAGTATACCTCATGTCGATTAGAGGCTTATTTTCGGAGATATAAGCGAAAAGAGCAATTTTTTTTTCTATTGTTATAAACAATATGACGCTCGACCTCTACAAATACACAAACTTAGGCTTTTATTCTGTGTATTTTTCACTTAATTTCAAGCCCATAAAATTCGAGGTAGGCCCGATTTTTGAAAAAAAAAACTAATTCGCCCGGACTAAAACGCCAACAGTGCAGAAAGGCGCGAAAATCTTCACCAAGTCCAAAAAAATTCGGAATTCGAGCTACAGCAAAGCCATATCACGCAGTTCAATAACCAGTGGAATCCTGGCTAGTGCAAGTAGAACGCTCCAAATTATTTCATACTCTTGTGTCACATGCAAAATCTTACATTAATTTATTGTCAATTAGGCAAAAAACTACCATAACGTCTCGCGTAAAGGATTTATTAAAAGTAAAATAATTATTTTCATTCTTAAGGGGATGGCTAACAATAAGATAAATTGAAACGGCAAAATGATCGATACATTTTTTGAGTCGCGCTTTGCGAAAGTTCGCAAACCTAATGCCTACAAATCTTGTGTTTATTATTTATTTTAAGCCTTCATGACTAACTTGGATCACATACATCTCGGAACCCTAAGAAGGCAAGATAATATATCATCCCCCAGTTGAGATTTATTATCTCAATGAATTCAACCGAGGAATGTTTATGATACTTAACCTAACATCATTAAAAACAAATGCTCGGTTTAATTTTCGTGATATATTCTTCCATTTACAACTTAAATTACCACCCCGCCGTCTTCGTACGCAAATATATGTCGCAACTGAGGATTTAAACCGATAAGATGATTTTTGATTTATTGCCAATTGTGCCTCTCCCAAATATTTGGCGGCGTAATCTACTTTTAATGACAAAAAAGTTCGTGGGTTCACCTATACAGAGAGACCGATGTTTTTTCGTGGCTTATCAACTCGCTCACGTTATATTAAAAATGCCAATTAGCCATACGTCAACAACAACACATCAAAACAAACTGATTGAAAAATTTCACCGATGTTCTGAAATTTGCAATTAACAAAAACGCAGTGAAAAAAGGCCGTACTATTTCCGAAGCCCATAAGAAAGAGTATTTGGAAAATTAAATTGAATGTGTTCGACATTTTGTTTCGCAAATTGGTTTATGATAAAAACGAATAGCAAGAAAAATATTATTAGATCCGAGACGCTATACAGGGTGTCTCATAATTAGCTGCCAACCCTGAACAGGCCGATTCTATGATCAAAACTAAGTAAACAAGTTCATATGAACATGGGTCCGGAAATGCTTCCTAAGGGCACAGGGACCCATTGAAGAGGGAGGAATGGAAATCATTTTTTTGCAATATCTCTCAATCGCGTTGTGATAAATGAATGAAATTTGGTATACACAGCTAAATTTTGATGAGCAATTTGATGGACTAATCCATTTATTTCCACAAGGTCCATTGGGGTGGGTACGGGGGGGGGCCCTTGGTACTTTGCGTGTGTAACTTTTTCATCTTTGACTTTTTAACAAATTGGACAGCAAATTCCGTTTTCCCGAACTGTTTTACGTTAAAATGGTACTCTTGTTTCAAATTGTTATCTTTAACGGTTTCTGAGAAAATCGCTCTTGAATTAATCCCACTTTGGTCAATTTCATAGCAATTTAAACAAAAAAAAATTTTTTGTTTAAATTACTATGAAATTGACCAAAGTGGGATTAATTCAAGAGCGATTTTCTCAGAAACCGTTAAAGATAACGATTTGAAACAAGAGTACTTTTTTAACGTTAAACAGAAAACGGAATTTGCTGTAGATATTGCAAAAAAATGATTTCCATTCCTTCCTCTTCAATGGGTCCCTGTGCCCTTAGGAAGCATTTCCGGACCCATGTTCATATGAACTTTTTTACTTAGTTTTGATCATAGAATCGGCCTGTTCAGGGTTGGCAGCTAATTATGAGACACCCTGTAGATAGAAACTTCGGCTTCCAATTTTAAATGATAAATAAGCTTTTTACAAACGGGCAAGGCAATAAACTAGCATTCCCCTTTCGATTCCAGGGCTTACAAGGGGAACAATATGAGCAGAACAACTGATTTTTTTTCTAATTCGCGTATCTTCGCAAATAAAACGATGTAATTGAAAAGCGTATTAAAATAACCCCGTATGGGTATGATTTTTGCAGGGGAGAAGCGGATTAAAAATGAAAAAGTCAAACAGACATAATAGGATTTTTCCGAGTAAATAAATCTGTAGAGAGCTCAGGTAGAACGGGAATTGTTTAACCCAATATATTAAATTAAATTTTAAGGCTCAGCATGTGAAAGAAATTCGATAAAACAAAGCGCGCAAAAAACGCACACACTACAGGGCAATGCAAGGACAAACAGCGAGCTCTTGCCAAACTAACACGGGAAATAGACAAATCAACTATCAATTAAGAGAAAATGGAATAAAAACGCTCCTTTAAATGCCAACAGTAACAAAAGTTCTTCCTTGAGTTGCCAACTCAAACTCAAAATTACCGGACTTGCGTCTAGCTGGGCGATTTTTCCGGTACCCCCTACGTGTTGATAAATTCCATCCCTCAATTTACATGTAATTATAACCAACGTGTGTGCCCGGTACAAGTTTAAAACAGAATTAATTAGTCCGCAAACCACTTGGGGCCTAGTAGAGATGATGTATGATTTGTGTAACTATATTTGTCAACGGTAAACTGCAATTCCGGCTATATTAAGCGCAAACGGAATACAAATTGATGATATTCGAACCTACATTTTAAACTATATACCTACATGCGGCTCAGTCAGATAATCCAATAACCCTAATATCATGTTTAACTAATAGCGCTGGTGACTGGAATGTATATGTTTCCATAAACACAGAACTTACGCTAAAACTGGTCACTCATGTTTATAATCACTGATTTACAACAGGCGGTGTAGTGTCAATGTCAAGTCCCCTGGCTCGTTCCAAACTAACCACATTAAATAAAACATTGTCGTCTTAAATTGTCATATGTACTGTACTTCCATATGAACTCGCAAACTCGGTTGAAACTTTTCATGTAACAACACTAAACTTTACAAAGTTTACGTCAAATATTTATTTATCACTCTATATCGATGTCCACTTACTCGATCATTCTCCAGCATTTGTATCCAATGTTCTGCTTAATTGCAACTAACCAGTGTTCTTACAACGGAGTACCTACTCTGAAAATTAGTTGCTTTTACATGAAATTGCATTAATGAGCGCGCAAAACAATGATTATACAGGGTGTGGCGTGTATAATCTATAAAAATTAAGCCACCGTAGCAATTGGAGTATTGTAAACCAATGACTTCAAGTGACTCCAAAGATAAAAGTCCATTGGAGTTAGATCGGGTGGCCGAGGTGGCCACGGCGCAGGACCAAAGCATATTATCGGGTCGCATAAAAACATTTCTAAAGTTTTTAATAAATAACACAGGGTCGGCCTACATTTTCGTGGAATAAATGAACTTTAATTTACAAAAAAAAACAAAACGCGAAGAACTTTTTCGTATACGACTTTTCTATTACAAATATCATCAGGAAGCTGTAGTTTAATTTTTAAAGATTATACACGCCACACCCTGTATACTGACTGCTATGCGAGATTTAAAGATTAAGGTAGATTACGGAAATCGGTTTTCCGCATAAGCTCAACAACCATCATTATTAGCTAGAACCCTGCAACTAGATACCTTAGCGTCTAATTACGGATATGATGGAAAATCCGCCTATCTGTAAAGTGTGTTTAGTATCTGATAAAAAATCGTGTTGCCTCGCAGTGCGAAATCGATAAACGGGGAAAAGCAAATACGGAGAAAGGGGCGCAAGATTTTTCAGCGTTACAGAATTTATAAAAATTTCATATTCTCCGTATACGAACATAGTTTGCGAAACAATATCTTTCTGTTTGACGACAACGAAACGAAGTTGACGATGGGGTTACCATGTGAATTGCTGTGCCGACACTGTATACACTCCGAGAGAAAAGCTATGGGCAAAACGAAGCCGAGATTTCAACTACAGTACAGGGTATACAAGGTTGTTACTAAGGTGCTTCTTAACTGTCTATACGAATCAACAAAATTTAAAAAAAAAATGGTTTTATAGTTTGGGGCCAGACAAACAAAATTCAATCGATTTTAGTCCAAACGGACCTACCCGATATTTCGATGAAAAATGGTCGTGGAGTCGGTGAACTAAAAAAATAAAAAAAAAATTTGCAAAATTTTTCTATCGGGCTATTTCTTAGAATTGCATGCTCCTACAAAAAATCGACCGAAAGATCTAAAAACTAGAATCTCACGGCTTCAAAATGCTTTTTTTTTAATTCCCGATACGACCGTTTTTCACCTAAATACAGTCTGTCAAAAATCACGGAAAAATTTCGGAAATTCTTTTGACCCTTTAATTTTTTGCATTAGTTTAGAAAGTTAAAAAACAGTAAACGACCCAAAATTAATAAAGCTGGTGGAAGTGAAGGTATTATTTACTTTCCGTTCAATATGATATATTCCGCTTCGTGCCACACGCGGAAAAACAGGAATCCGGCCGATAAAATCGACCGCGCATCTGCTATTTAGCATATAGAGCGGCCGCCCGTTTCTAAATTGCGAGGACTAGTGTAGACGCGCCTGGAGTTTTCAAGTTATTGCGCGCATATCTTCCGTTTCAGTTCCCCATCTCTCACACTTAATAAAATGATTTTCTTTCAGAATTTCTGTTATCTTCCGAGTTCGTTCAGCTAAGGCCGTTAAGATCACCGATACGAATCTGCTGAAGAGGCTGGGAGTAATACTGACAATTTTTACCGCGTTCCTGATAATTCGCACCCTCGTAGCGCCCCCCGTCGTCATTGTTGGAAGGACCGCCGACGACCTCAAAGCCTATCTCTGCAGGACCGACTGGTGGGATCACTTGTTCACCACACGTAAGTCCCTGTCGTACTCTTTCACCTAAATCAGGATATTTGTGTATCAAATAAAATTAGAACAACCGTATGTTGAGCAACCAGAGAAAGTTATTTTATTTCGAGAAACTGCAACTTCCGGGAACTCCCTTTAGATTTTAATGTGGCGCTTGACCTATGACCTATTTTTTAATAATGATATAATACCAGAAGCGTTCTTCTCCCGACAAGCATTAAATCCGCTTGGATCCCTGAGCAATATTGCTCCTCGGAGGACGCAAAATAAATTTTGAGTGGACATTTGAATGGCCCAGAACTTACCTATCTTATTTGTTCTTATTCTTTTCCTCCAGCAGCACATTGTGTAATTTTATATGTATTTAAAAATTTAAATGTTATGCTAAAATTAGCGTGAAAAAGAGAAAACGTGAACATAGCCAGGGCTCATTAAAGGTGAGCCCGTGAAAGTCATTTTTACATATTTCCAAAACTGTTCGAGATAAAATAACGAAATATGAAACTGGATATTATTATTATACTGTCATAGCTAAAAAATAATTTTCAAATATTAGTCAGAGGCGGGGGAGGGGGTGAATGTGGCTAAATTTTGCTATAGCCCTTTGTACACGCACTTTTTCACTGTTTTTTATATAATTTTACAATGTTCTACAGTAAAATGATGCTTGCGTATAATTTATATAGGTTGTACCATTTAAAAGCAAAATTTATTTAGAAATGATGATTTCGAAATTTGTGAAAACCTATTGAACTCACATTTGTACGATTTTTGTACTCGTTAAAATAACGTTAACGAGTTGCCTATTTAAAGACATTCACTGTAGAATTAGAATGTAATCTACCTATTGTTTTAAATACCTATTCATTTTTTTAATGCGCAAATCACTATTATAAAATTTATTAGTTAGTAAGCTGTTGGAAATAAGTAAAAACTAAAATAGCATTCCGGACAATTGTGTTTTCCAATATTTTCAATCAACCAAAACTCGGAAACAAAGTTTTAATACAGTTGCAACTCTATTTAAAACTTTATCGCTCATTTCCTATTTTCATTTATTTTTGTAGTCATGTAGTTGCAGTCATGATTTTTTTTGTTTAAATTATGATTAAATAGACGTTATTCCAAAATTAACGAGAAAAAGAAAAAAGTTTTGAATTTAAATAGAAAAGAGTCTAAGGGCTCATTAAAGGTGAGCCCGTGAAAATGATTTTTTCTACATTCAAGATAAAACAACGAATTTTGAAACTGGATATTACTATTATAGTTTCAAATACTGCTTAAAATAGTTTCAAACTGGGGAGAGATGCGGGTAAATGTTGCGATACTACTACTTTTTCAAGTATATGTACGCAAATGATTTTTTATACATATTTCTAAAACTGTTCAAGATAATAACAAGCAAATATGTAATTTCAGAGTAACAATATGACGATGAGATGCTGTGTTAGAGGTTAGAGAACCCTTTTACCGGTTTTGTTTAAGTTATATTGAGGGAACACAAGCGTCGGATATAAATCACAGTTTTCCGCAAAAATATCTGAAAGGAAGTGTCGATATCGCGAATTTTGTCAATTGTTCCCGAGTTTGAAAATAGCAACAATAGACACTCCGATGGGCCCTAATTCTCTTCTGCCGCTAACTTTTGCACGGCTTAACATAGAACAACCAGATTGGGGTGTTTCTATGGGAACTCGAATCCCGGACAAATCATGATTTAACCCTGAAATATAGCCTAATTACTTTTGTCGCGAAAAATTCAATTTGCGCATTGAATTAAATCGAAAGGCTCTTCCGCCCGGCGTTTTTAAATAAGCAATTGCGTAATAGCTATAAAAAGTTTTTTGTAATTCCCCGTTTTGTTTCCAGTCGCTTGAAAGGTTGCAAATCATCGATGTATCCATTACAATGAACTAACTTCCGTTTGAGGGGTTCCCGATTTGCTGAAATATTCAGCAAACCGAACTTTTTACTTATACCCCCTCGAAGACAGTGGCAACGAGGAAGTTTTAATAGAAGTAATTATTTGAAGTATTTGTAGATCTTCGACTATTTCGCATTATTTATCCCTCGAAAGCAACGATTAATTGAGAGGCACTCTTCACCGAGATTATCAAATTATTTCACTACAATGGCAAATTGAGCAAAGGGGACGGATTTTATTAATAGATATTTTAAGCAACTTTAGAACTAATTGGAATATATTTCCACTCGTCTCAAACGAGGATCGTCTGTAAACTTGCGCTACAAATACACTGGCAATTCAGTAACGATTATATTCTATTTCTTAAAATAACCCCCTCGCTTTAAAATATACTACATACAAAAAAGAATAACAAGTCCTAAATTTTTAGGTGATTTTCAAAAGGTTGTAATTTTTTTCAGGATCTGAAAATAAAAAATTTGTAAGAAATATAATTTCAATCAGTAGGGAACAAACGTATAAATTCCCCCAGAAAGGTCGGTTGTATCACAAAACTGGGGGGTTTCTTTCTTGCAATTCAGATGAGGTCATAGCCACAAATGCCTATAAAAATGACACTCCAAAGGACGACACAATCACAGATGATAAATGTAGAGAGTGCCATTTATTTCCCGAAACGATCGATCATATCATATCGGGGTTGCAAACTATTAGCAAGTGTTGAGTATACAAATAGACATAACAGTAGCTAAAATTATACATCATGCAATAGCAGGCCCATTTCATACATACACACCACAAACAATATTAGAGAATAATTATTATAAACTATATTGGGACCTACCAGTCGTACGTAACAGATCGGATATAGCATTTCAAGATAAAATGGAAGATAACACTTACAGAACTGAGGGGGCCGGGGGTTGGTGGGTGAGGGGGTAGGGGGGTTAAAATTCAATAATAAGATATAGAGAATTAAATTACACTGATTAATATTTACTGACCTTCGTCAATTTAATGCCAAAGACTGAACTGAGGTTTAGACTGTAAACTTGTTAACGATGCGGTTATTTACAACCACCGTATATTATATTTAAGAAACTAATCTCCCATATTGTGATCCAAATTTAGGGTGAATCCATTTATTTCCATTATTGAACATTATAATTGGATTAAGTATGGTTAGGATTCCAAGGATTCGGCAAAACAAGGATATCTGAACGACACTGTTAGGATATTGATCATTTTCAGCCTGTGAGCTACGCCAAGCAAAATATATTGGTAGTTTTATATGCTGTGCCGCACGAGATATCTTTGTTTTAAATTAAAAAGTTGAACTTCTTGTTTTCCAACAATTTTTCATAGGGTTTTCGCTAGTGTCGAAGCTAATGGGGGCAATGTGCACGTGCAGTAGAACCTCGATAATCCGAACGCTGCTAATCTGAACCCTCCACTAATCCGAACGACATAAAACCCGAATCTGACTGCAGTGCACTATTAAAATTCGGGGAAAATCACGTGGTCAAGCGAACGGGAGGGGGGAGGGTGTGCCGATATGGCGATAAGCGACATTTTAGATTGATTCCTCTTCAGTTTGTTTATATTTTGATTTTACCTAAAGTTTCTAACGTTAAATTACTGAAACCGATGTTTAATATTCCAAACTTTTGATAATCCGAACTACCTTCGGTCGAAATTAGTTCGGATTAGCGAGGTTCTATTTTACTTTATAATAGAATTCTCCCAATTCTCACTTCAGTTATCATACTTGTATAGAAGCTAATGAGGCTAATGTGGGAAGATGTGCAAATGCAGTAGAACCTCAATAATCCGAATGCCGGTAATCTGAACCTCGGCACTAATCGGAACGACACAAAACCCGAATCTGACTACACTATTGAAATTCGGGAAAAATCACGTGGCCAAACGAATGGGATTGATTCTGACTGACAGTTTCGAGCGTTTCGATTACCGAAACCGATGTTTGATAATCCGAACTACCTTCGGTCCCAATTAGTTCGGATTATCGAGGTTCTATTGTACCTTATAGTAGAATTCTCCCAGTTCTCATTTCAGTTGTTTACTAGACGTTGCCCATGCCACCAAATATATTATAACGCATCTTCCGAAGATTTTCCCATTTTTTTATTTAAAAATAACCGCCCCCTTTCTAGGGTATGCCCTGCCTTGAAAGCGCCGTACACACTCGAGCAAAAATCTAATTGGACACTTGTTGACAACTTAAATATAAGTTTTTGCCCGCCTAACCTGCTGCATTCGTTTTGTTCCCGGCAGAGATTAAGAAGGGGAACTGACAACATAATAAAAAAGTCAAAGGGAGACATAGTGAAAAATTTATCTTGCGCTAAGGAATTTTATTAAGAATCCAATTGTGCCCCGTTACGTCCCGGCATTTGTTTTGAATTGCTAATGCCGAAGTAAGGGCGCGCCCCCATTATCCGGCGAACCGGGTAGAACGCGGTGCGCGCGCACCCGATCGCCAACTACCGTGAAACGTTTCTGTGGCATTAAATATGTTAAGCAAGTGAACCTTTGCGGCACAGAAACACCATTGTTATTTTTTTTTCATAAAACACTTCTTGTATTTCACACACGTCGCTTCGTTTATGTTTCAAAGGCCCCGCGAAGACAACCAGTTGACTTTGATGCATTTGTTCCAGGATATCCGTATATAAGCATTTTACTGTATAGGGGAAAAATGAGATACATAAAATATCCGAATAAAAAAAAATAAAGGCTGAAAAATTCCATGTACCCCTCGCAATCCCATCACGTGATCCAGATACCGGCAATCAAGTTTTTCTTACCGCCATATTTCTCGTATCCGTACGAAGAGTTATTTACAGGAATGAATCGGCTGCAGTCAACTTGAATTGTAGGGTTTAACGGTCGTAAATTATCTATTATTAAAAATACGCCTGTCGAAATGTCAACTTAGCGCGATCCTAAAATACGATCGTCTGAGTCGGCTAAATGCCGAAAGATTTAAGAGCACTTCGACCCGGTTGTTAATTTAAGCCCGCATTGATAACGCCCGTTTAAAAGCAATTGCAGAAAAGT